GAAACATTTCAAGGTCCCCTGAGTTCATATGATTTTAAATTTTTCAAAATCGTACTTGTATTAGTGTATATTCTTCATTTATTCAAATACAATTGGAAATTTGAATATTTCCCTAAATACATATAATATAAATTAAAAAACAAGTTGGAGCTTAAAACAATTTTTAAATTGTTAAATTGTTAAATTAATTTTTAAATAAATAAAACAACTGTTGAGCAAATCCGATAGCTAGGACTTAAAATGTACAAACGTCTAAATCGGAATCCTCATACCAGATACTCCGACAAGAGACCGCTCGACGTTTCCGATTACTTCAGCACTTACTAGATAAACGCTCTAAACTTTCAATTAATTACAAAAGACTCATATACAAGACTATATTAATGCCTATTCGGACATACCGAGTTGAGCTTTGGGGCTCTATTAAAGTATCGAATTCATCCCCAAAATGACGAGGTTGTGTAGGTCAAACGGCCAATATTTCTGTAGGCCATCGTTTTCCGATTTTGTGATCAAATTATCTTACGATTCCATTGGAAAGAAAATGGGTATCTATGAATTTTTAGTATCTAATTGAATTAATTAATTTAAGGAGAAAACTATCCATTTTTGAGAATTTTCGTAGATATAAAATGTGTTGGTTACGATAAGATGATGCGTTTTACGAAGGATTAGGCGAATATTAATAATTTCATAAAATGGAATCTGAATCACGGACACTACAGACTATTGATTAATTCAAACGTTAAAATATCCGTTAATTAACATTTATTTATCTCTCATACCAGACTAAAACGACAAGAAACCGTTCGACGTTTCCGATTACTTCAGCACTTACTAGACAAACGCTCTAACCTTTCAATTAATTACAACAGACTCATATACATGACTATAATAAGGCCTATTTGGACGTATGGAGTTGAGCTTTGTGGCTCCATTAAATCATGGAATTCTTCTCGTATCCTGTCCTTACAATCCAAAATCGTAAAATGCTCAATGTCCTCACTTTCTTAAAAATAAAATTATCCATAACGATCTTAATATTCCTTATGTTTTCGAATTGGCCCCATTCCTTCCATGATAAACTTCAGAACCATCCTAATCTTCTCGTTTTTAACCTTCCTTCCTCTTCGATCCCTGATAATTTCACGAGACGTCTGAAAAGAAGATGGTCTCATGATCTCCTAATTTAGATGCTGTATTAGAGTGATGTCATTTGGTAGATGCTCTACCTGTCTTTTTATGCTATTATCTTTCTATGTATCACATTTACTGGATGTATATTTATTTGTATACAGTTGTAAATTCCATGAATAAAAAAAATAAATTGATTTTTTAAAAACAAATTTAGTGATAAAAAAAATGTATTAACTGGATATTTCATGACCAACCTGTGAGAGTATATAAGTTATAAGATAATGGAGACTCGACTTTTTGTCTCCTCGTGTTTTTTTAATCCTTGATCGATATTCACCAAACAGACTTGGGCTATTCCAAGTAGCGACTCGTGGACAACAGGGGGCAGTGCAAACAGGTTTCTAACTCCTTCCAAATATTTGTCCAGTAATCATGTTGGGCCACTCCCTCCTGTTCCTGTATTTATCCTACATTATTCATATTTTAACATTATTAGTTTTTTTTTAAATATAGGTATTTATTACCGGATTAATAATTATTTATAATAAATGTTTCCTTCTTGTTTCTTTATTTTTCGATCAATTAACTATATACAGTGGTGTAAAAAAGTCTTCGAATGAACAATTTTTTTTATAAAAATAATAAATGTATCAATTTGTAAGTATTTTAATCTTCTTCATTGTAAACTGATTCAATCTTGTATACGTTACAGATTTAATTATCAGTTAACAAAATTACAACGGGAACAATCTGTTGTATGTTTTTTGGCCCCTGAATATCTTAATGTTTAAATTTCAATTCCCATACCAGACTGAAACGTCTAGAAACCGCCCGACGTTTTCGACTACTGCAGCACTTACTAGACAAACGCTCTAAGCTTTCAATCAATTACAAACAACTCATACATATGACAATAATAAGACCTATTTGGACTTACGGAATCGAGCTTTGGGGCTCCACTAAACCATCGAATTCCTATCGTATCCAATCCAAAACACACAATTTTTACATACGACGTTTTGCACTGACAGTAGCGATATGCATGTTCAATATGTACTGGGATTTTTTTTTTCGGTTTTATAAAAGAATCTTGTTGGATAATAAGAAATATCCCTTGAATTTTTAACCAATTTTTTGACATAAATAGATGCATATGTATCACGGCATACTCTCCACACCACATCAATGACTAATATTGCTAAATGTACACTATGTATAAACTAAAATATTGAAATTTCTTCAAAAATATTGAGAGATATATTAATAATAAAATAATTCAGATTATAGTATTTATATTGATGAATTTCTATTTATTATATTGATGAAATTCAATGTTTGTTAAATATTAATAACCGTGTTTTAATATACTGGCAATGTTTTTTTTCATTTTTTTTTAATGTTTGATTTCTTTGTATGTTCTTTTTTGAAGTACTGAAAATTTGAAAGTATTAGATCTAACTGAATTATGTTTGTCTAGCAAGCTTTTCTCTTGGTTTTCATTTCCGTTATCATCTAGATAATATTTATAACGATTTAATCTTTGGCTTAGTTTGGGATTTTTTTTAATTTTCTACAGGTTAATCTCATATAAAATTGTATTAATTAATCGTTAAGTTGGAAAATTTTAATAAACTTATGAGTAAAAATTATCGTACATAACAATGACGAATCAAATAGTATTTTTGAGCGAGTAAATTAAAACGTTGTCAACATTTTAGTCTCTTATTTTCAAAACGAATGTTAGTAATCTACCAAATAAAAAAAATATATAAAACTACCGGAATTTGATATTTTTCGCTTTTACATTTCAAGATAGGAATAAACCAAAATCGATAAAAATGAGAACGTCTGCCGTCCACGGTTTTTTTTTTTTGGAGTAGACGAGACCAATTTTTCACAAAAGTCGTAGGTCACCCAAAGATGATTCTCAGAACTCAGCATTATTACTCGGCATTACGTTGGAAAATGTCGATTGCCATATTGATCATTGATTTATTTAGTGTTGTTATATAACCGAATTTTCTTGGAATTACGAATACCATTGGAATGTATCGTAAACAAAAAAATGAATATCTCTGCAGACAGAAACACTTGATAATCGATTGGATACTTGACGGTATCTTATCGATAGCTATCGGTAAACAATATTATAATCGATTTAAAACATACCAGACTTTAAATATTTCACTCTCTTCCTGACATTAGGTAATATTATTAAATCAAGTGCAATTTGATGAATAACGAAATTGTTGCAACCTTATCTCTCTTTCACGAGTTATAAAAACTTTATTGATGTTATTAAAGATTTTGTAAGATCACAAAATGTTTGGCTTCAAAATTCAAATATTTACATTCGCATCAGATCCAAACATTTTTAGGAATTATTTGGATTTGTATCTATATGGTCTCATTTAGATTTCATCAATTTTCAGTCTATATTTTCGCTTAAGCATTTTTCTTGAAACTCTTATGTCTAAAAAACTTGTCCAATTTCGTCGAAAATGTAAAGGAAAGTTGGGGATTAGTGTAATAATTGCTAAGTACCAATTTTATGAAATTACTCTCCCTACTTTAACTTACTCATGCAAACTATTTTTTGTCTTTAATTTTCAAGCTTATTTCACAAAGTTTCAGTTCAAACGTTTTAACGAAATTGCTAAGTAATATAATAATCTATAATTAATAAGTGCTATAGTACTCTTTTAAAAAAATAAAAATCTAATGATTTTTTGTCATAGTATTTTATGCCTCGTCACCCAATCGTTTTAAAACAAAATTCATGGCTGTTTAACGCTTCTGAAAAATATAATTGAATTAATCAATTCATTAAATTTGTAATGTATTTTTATTTTTAATTGATGTTTAGTTAAACTAAAAGTAATTAAACTGTATTTTTTGTATTTAAATATAATTAAAAAGATATAAAATTATTAGATAAGTGTTTATTTTTAGATGAATAATCTTAAACAATTTTCAAATATTTCTTCCCTATTGGAACAATAGTCTATAAATGTTTAATTATTGGCGTACCTTAGAGAAGGAGGGGGAGTGACGTTTAATTAAGAGTACCAACTTTATAGAGGCTGTGTGTGCCCTAGGGGGGTCTACCTACCCAGGATCGCCCCCTGAAACATAATAAATACTTTTTCTGCCATGAGCCGAGATTCGAACCTGGGACCTTTGGAAGCTCAGTCAATACCCCACCACTGAGCTATCCCACTTCCCTCTATTTATTAATAATAGAATTATAATTTAAATAAATAAAATTTATGATATTATGTCTTATTTATACTGTAACAAAAACTAGGAAAAATTCAAATTACATCAGTACTATAAGCATAACTGTGCTAGGACTTTTTTTTAGTCCTATATGGGTGCGGCGATTTTTTTTTTTTTTTTTTTTTTTTTTTTAGTTCAATATCGTTGTCGCAGAAAAAATAGTTTGAAAACCTCTGGTCTATTGAATATTTTAATATTCAATATTGAATATTTTAAATTCAATCCCAACGCTAAAAGGTAGGATTATTATGTCACATTAAGGAATACATAGTCATGAGAACCTTTAAATTATCTTATAAAACTGCACTTTTAATAAACATTATTAAAGTAAGATATACGACTACATAGATGATAGATAGTCAGGACGCAGTCATTTCATGATTTTTATTGAGATTTAAAATTTATTTATTTTAGTACTTCAATACTAGTAACTTGGCCTGATGATACAAATCTTAAAATGACTACGTCCTAACTATTTATTACTTATTTTAGTAAACATGTGTAAATAAATTAATAAAACAAACTCAAAGTGTTATTTCAAACCATTTTTTGTTAAATTCTAATCACATAACAATTACGAAAGCATTAAGTGATAGATAAAAATAATAATAATAATATTAAAAGATATTCTTACCTGAAATAAGTGAAAAACGTTTATCTTCGAACACTGTGTAATGGCGGTTTTTTTTTTCTATTACTTATAGAACATACTGATCAGTGTTGCCTCTGATTCTGAAATTATATTTTGTAAATTTTAATCTTCATGTGTGTAATAAATTTTTAGCTATTAATATATCGTTAATTGCCGCCTCTGTCGATGTTTTAAGTAACCCTTACAAAAATCAATAAAATACTGATTGAAAGTAAAATTGAACTTACAACAGATAGCTATTTGATAAGGAGTAACCAAATTAATATAAAGAAGACTAATCGATGTATCGTGTCAACTGATATCGATTCGGTATCAGCCCTAAGAGGATTCACCTTGGGTGATATGAGCGCCCTATCACAGATGTCATCGCCTTATCATCTCTCATATTACTACTCGTCTTCTTCACGTACATCTGTCAGTCTTTTATTAATATTATTATTATTTTTATTGTTATACTTATAATATTTCTATAGAATTTTATATATTTATTTATTTACATATTATATCCGTTTAGAAGCAACACGTGTTCATTTCTGTGTCTGTTTGTTTTAGATAAAGGCCGGGATGATGTGATTGTTATAGACAAGAGTGAGTGTACTCAAATAATCACTCGTGGAATGAAGGAGTGCTTCAAGCTGGAACATTTACAGAAGAGGTATGTTAATGTTTATGTTTATGTTTATTTACATAAATCTCTGTATGATATTGTTGCATTGTATATAAGTTGTAATACTAATTTATACCTGACAGATTATTTAAATTGCCAATTATAAAAATAATGCACTGTTCACAGCTATTTTCTTTCATTAATCATAAAAATAATGGCATATTCACCGGTAGAATATATAATTTTTCTTAATTATTAACCATTATATGGTTATACCATTATATTCCTCCATGATATATATATATATATATATATATATATATATATATATATTAAATGATATTTTTACTTATAAATTTAAAAATATATATATAAAATTCAGTTTTCAAAATAAAAACTCATATATATATATATATATTTTTTTTTATAATTTATTTAATTACTACAGATTTAATTGAATTGTAAATCTACACTTGTAAACATTTACTAATTCTTTACTGTCTTGAATAATAATGTTTATTTGTTTAATATTTGATAAAGAGTTTGAAACATTACTAATAATCTAATTAAAGAATAATAAATTAACTAATGATCTGTTTCTATAATTTATTTAAATTATATATAATTATTAGATTTATTTAAAAAAATAATAATAGTAACATTAATAAACAATTTGTAGCTTACTTGAAAATTGCAATTGTATTTATTTTCAAAAGGATTATTTTGAAAACTGGTTCTAAGCTGCTTTTAAAACTATAAATTTGGTAAATATTTTAATTCATTCATTTACCTATACTATAAAGGAAAAAATTAAATTCAGGAAAAATACAAATTGGAAAATTAGTCTTTGAATAATATTTTTTTAATGAATAAAACTAATCAATTAACTTTGAATGGAAATTAATTTAGACCTTAAATTTAAAAAAAATAGATATGTCCAATTTTTTAAAAGATTATATTTTATAAGAATTAAAATGATGAAAGTCCATTGCTTAAATATTTATCTGTAGTTTTATATTACCGTGGAAATTTACTTAAATTTGTTTTGAATTTTTTCACTTTTTTAACTAAATAATTAATTTAAAAATGTTATCAAGACTATATTTTCTATTGTTATTTATAATATTTTTGGACCCAAAACTTAATATCTTAAAACTGCTCAAACTGGACCTACACTGCTTTAATCCTAACCTATCTAGTTGTTCAAATTAGATATTGAAAGAAAACGTAATGATTTTTTAATTAAGAACTTCAAATTCATACTACTGAAACATTAAAAGTTGCTACAATATTTAGTTTTATTATATAAGACCCTCAAGGTAAAGGACGCTATGTCAATTTTTTTTATTAAATAATTTAGTAACTGAAAAATAAATTTTAAAAGCTGAAACTTATAGAAAATTGGTTTCTCTGAACAAATACAAAAATGTAACTATATATATTGATGATACTGTATATTAGTTCTAGAATTGTCCATTGCATTGATTGATAAGTATGCTGTGTCTATAGCAACAGGGGTGCCCATCCCTCCCCTCCCCCCAAGGTCGATGGCACATAAACCTTCCCCCTCTCCTCATCAAGATATTTTATTGCTCTCCTCTTATTAAAACATTAGAAATTAAAGTATCGTAAATCATATAGTGTAATTACTTGCTAAGGTTTGTTCCATATATTCCCTTTGTCTCCTTGTTTGAAGCTTTTTAATCTGAAAATTCATAATTCAAAAATTCAAAATCCAATCATAATGTAGCCCGTCAAAAATTGTGATGGTGTAACTTGCGTTATGATAGCCCCTTGTTGGCACCCCTGTGTAGCAACACAATATAATTGGGGAGTACCCTTTTATGAAAATAAAGTGATTCTCTCTATTTTTTTTCATTTGACTGTTTAACAAATATTTTAAATTAAATCATCCTATTAAAACTTGATTTACTAAATACATTGATTTATGTATGATTCTTTTAATACTTATATTTTGTAATTAGTAATATTAAATTAATACTTGTATTCATAAGTAAACTACTACCAAAAACAGTATGTACAATTCTTATGATTGAATGCAATTATACTTTTTTTTTATAGTATTAATTCAGTGAAAATGAGACGTTTCAATTTTAAAAAATTTATTAAAAAAGAAAGAAAAGAAAGGACTAAGACCATTTTTTAAATTAATATTAAGTTGTATGGAAATTTAACTTTTCTCAAATTTCTGTTGTCCTAAATATAAAATGTAAAACTTAGTGTTAATGAATATCAAAGTGAACAATTAAATTTATATTCATTGCATTTAGAAGTAAATGTTGACTAAATTCTATCTTAAGCGATGCCATTTCATACATAATTGATACTGCCTATTAATTCAGAATATTCAATCCTAACTTCACTTTTCTTCATTTTCAATTAATTTAAATTTTTAATTGATAATGTATTCAGTAATCTCACACATATTTCCTTTAAATATAAACATCATACGATATTGGCGTTATTAATATTATTGATTCGATATTATTCTAATGTTGATAAAATACGCCGATATCGGTAAGGAATATTGGAACTTGCCCGATATCGCAACAACCCTGTTTGTAACTATCTATTATTCTCTAAATAAATGACAATGTCTCAATGCCTCTGACTGAAAAGCCCCTCATATTGAACTACCATCATGTTTTTTGGTTTGATGTCTTGATTAGTAGTTCTTCACACCATTTTCCTCCTATTTGAATTTTGATTCTTCTGAAAAATTGACTTGATGACTCATGTGGGTTTTCAATTTATGTTTGGAAAATTAGATCTTTTTCTTTAGATTTGTTGGATTAGTAAACGGTTTCTTTCTCTCATTCTTCTGTCTGTTTCAGCAATCATAGTCTGTTGATTCTTTCTTACTTATTATCGAATTTTTATGAATTGTTTTATGTCACATTCTTTTCATCCAGTCATTTACGATTTTTAGTTGTTCTATTTTATCTCCCTTCTTTAGGTATTTCTTTGTCCTCTAGCTTTCATATACTGGAGATATGTGATTAATTACTATTTAAGAATTACAGCTGTAGAATTATTCATTTTTGGAATGATTACATAAGTCATGTAACATTTTTCCCGAGATTAAAAATTCAGATTAAATTGTGATCTTATATAAACTGCTAATTGACAACTTGGTAATCCGTTTATTTTCCTTTCCAGATAATTTATCTTTCCTAAGTATTTAATCTATTTCTGTTGTTATTTTTGTATTTCTTGTTTTAAATAAGTATTAAAACTAAGTATTTTCTTCCTAATGCAGCATCACAATCATCATAATATTTATATTTTATGTAAATTTATGGATTATATAATTAAATAGTATAACTATAAATATAGTTAATATAACTAACAGTTAGTTAACTAACTCATCTTTAATTATACCCTTTTTTCATTATATTTACACTGTGTATATACATTATTTATAGTTAAACTGTTTATAATTTATCATTAATTAATGACAAGTGAGGTAGCTATTTGACATTAAAAAAATTTTAACATAAGTGATATAGATTGGACAATTATTATAAATAAATGTCAATAAGTAATTAAATTAGGAAAATTAGGAAGAAATGAAGTAAATTGGTTGATTGACTGAAGTAAAAAAATAAAAAGTTTTATTCATAGATTGTAATAATTAAATGTATATCTAATTGTTGTTTATGTAATCTTTGTTCTATCTGTCTTATTATTTATTTTTATTTAATATTTAATTATTTGTCTGAATGAAAGATATTTCCGAGTAGATAAAATCTCCAACTATATTAGATAAAATAATTGGTTGTTTTGTCAGACACAATTTAGTGCACTGATGTTGAGCTCAGAGCAGTATTATCCAATTGATCATTATTATGTGGATATTATTTCACAATGGTGTGTATACATTTTTTTATTAATAATTTTTTTTTCTAAATCTATGCAAATATTTCGATTGTGAACAGTCAATACCTTCCATCTGATTGGTTTATTTTTTATCTCGTGTGCACTAAATGAAATTGAAATGACATTTTATTATTAATTATAGTATGAAAATCTTTAAGAAACAAAATTTTGATTTCAATAATTTTTTAAGGTTACCAATAGTGGAATGGCTGCCAAAGTACTCATGGGGCAAGCTAGTGAAGGACATTATTGCTGGTCTTACCGTAGGGCTGACCGCTATCCCGCAGGGTATTGCCTACGCTGTAGTTGCCGGTCTCCAACCTCAGGTATGAATGTATGCGTAAATTATTATTATAAATACGTGCCTGTTTTCAATATTCAAAATACCAAAAATAAAATTGAAATATTTGAGAATACTTAAATCATTGAAGGAAATAACCACTTTAAGTTATTAATAATCACTATCCATCTTCAATTATAAAGATCCGGTGTGTCCACACACATGACTTTTCTACTGATTTTAGAAAAATGTATACAACCTTAAATATCTCATTAAAAAAACAAAACAACGAAATTGAATTAGGTTACTGTTCCTTTAAACTGATTAGAGTACAATTTCTTTGACGAGCTAAAATATTGTAAATTTGTGCGTGAATCATTCATTAAAATCAATTTATAGAATTCAATATACTATAATTTTTATAAAACTGGTCCAATTCAGACAATATTCTTTAGTTTTGTAAGAAATTAAAACTTTTCAAAAGATTCTAGTTTCATGGGTATCGGTAGCCAAAACTCTACGAACCAAAAAAAGAAGCAACAAAATCAGTCTACTACTTCCTGAGATAATCTTGACACAATCAAACAGACAGATCAATGGCTGAAAATATGTTTTTTGGACTCAGAGGACTCTGTAACGTAAAGCTTTGTTCAAAACTGCACATCTGTTACCTAGTAGCAATAGGAAAATAAAAAAAATTATTAAATTAATTAAAGTAGTGCTTGGCTTAATCATTTGAATAACATTTTTTAAGCAGATGCGCCTACACTTAAGTGGGCTATTTTGATTCTTGAGAGATAATATAGCTCCAATGATATCAACAATGTTTTGCTATCCACCAGTTGATGATTAGTTCGGAAAAAGAAAGTTGCAAAAAGGATGGAAGGGAAAGAGGATAAGAATATCTTATGATTCGTGAGCACAGAGTGATTCTTTAAAAAAAATTAGCAACACAAAAGTAAATATAGATAAAGTTGAACCTCTGTATATCGAACTTCCTTATAAAGAAAATCTAATTTCTTAGAATGCTAAATTTTTATTAGAAAAAGATTCTGCACATCAAACAAAATTTTATATTAATACAACAAAATTTCATATAAATTGTGAAAAAATGTTACATTTAAAATATATAAAATGTTCATAATAATTATAATCAATATGTTCATAATAATGGATAATGATTCAATAAGAAAAAATTGTTTCACTGCTTCACAATGGGATGGAAATTCTAGATTGACTTAATTTAAGAAGAAACAATTGAGGAACCAACCGGAGAGAAATTCTCTTAATCTTTTCCAATAAAGAGTGAAATTTTCATTTTAATTAAATTAAATTAATTTTTCTTGTGAACATGGCTCCAATATGAAAATCATTAACTGTGATATAAAATTCAATTTAATGAAAGATGAAGGAAAGAAAAAGGAATGAAAATGAAGAAAAAATATATAAATATTTAAGTGGAAGGCCAAAAAGCAGATGGATAGATAGAATCAACAAAGATGCAATAGAGCTGCGTGCAGATAAATGGAAAGAAATAGCCAAAGACAGGCAGAGATGGAGCAGGCTTGTTAAGGCAACAAAAGATCTACATGATCTGAAATGCCAAAAAAAATTTATATATTTATTTAAAAATAAATATATAGTGTGTATAGTCTTATAATTGATATCGATGATTGCTTAATAAATATTCTCAGGAATTTCGCTATTGAATGTTTATTTCAATTCATATCTTTATTCTTAGCAAGAATGACAAACACTTGTCTACAATATTGGCTATTAATCCATTTATTTTCTTCCCATAAATCTTATCTTATACTTTGGCTGTATAATCAGAAATACTCCAAGACCTTTTCCTTATAGACATGTTTGTGTACCAGAGAGATAGAAAGAAATGCAACCGTGATTTATTGATAGTTGATAAGGTGATTTTGTTATCGTAACTATGTCAATAATATACTTGTCATTAAATGTATCCCATAGAGTATTCCACGCGCATATGACATTTTTTGTTTTTTATTTTCTAGATGTATATATTATATTTAATCTCAATATATAAAAAGTTCCTTGAGTAGAATAAATAAAATATAAATATTTCTTTTTAAAATTAAAATATTACAATAAATTACTAGTTAATTACAATAATAATTAAAGTTATATCTACATATATCTAACATTATATTAAAACTTAAAGAAACCAATTTTAGTAGTTTTGTAGATGTTTATTATGAATTGATTATTTGTAAAATTTTAAATAATAAATATAATTTTTAAAATTTAATATTATTAGTTACCCCTTGGGACTAATATACAAAGTGTATCTGTGAGTAAATGTATCAGTATTAAGGTTTTTTTCTTTGTAAACTAAAAGCATTTTTAGCTTCTAAATTTTGAATCCCTTCCAACCCCCTCATATATTATTACAATAAGGCTCGAAATCGGTTTTGTACCAAACATAAGCTCCTTTCGTGCTCAAATACCATGAATGGGGTACGATTGGATTCAGAATTTCATGGTGGGTTAGCGAATCGTACTCTCTGCTTTTGTTTTTCTTTCTAAAATAAATAAAGTTGATATAAACATTTTTCTGGGTTTCAATATTATAACGGTGGTAAGTCTGTTGATCGATACAGGACAAATTGAGCTTTGAAGATTTTGATGCGCTCACCAAGACCCAGATAATTCCTTCAGAACTATCAGACACTGCGTTCTTAAGCCCAAAAATGTACTATTTTCGATAATGCAAGGCGAAGGGTTCACATCCACAAAACCTCACGTTAATTGTAGTACTGTCATGGAATATATGTCTCATTTCGTTGACTTTCCTTGAGAAAGGAGGAGTTTATGTTGTTCATCAAAGGTGTTTTTTTTTTTTTGCTAGTAAGCCATATCATCTTCAACTCTTCACCAGATTGAGCCAATTTAATTTAATCAGATTTTAACACATGGTAAATTGCATATCAACAATGACCTTGCGTATAAAGCTCTAAAATCTACCATTTATTTATGCACACTTATTGCATGTTGTTGATTATTTTCCTATAGATGATAGAGGAGGAGCTTATGTATATTGTTTCCCGTTCATAGATTTTAGGATGATTCTTTTATAAAATTTTATTTTTCTTCTAATTGACTACTGAAATATTTCAGAAGTAGTGCAGTTTTCTGATTTTTTGAAAAAACTAATTGAAAATGAATGGAATTATGGGTATAATCATTTTAAAATCCTTACAAAATGAAAAAAAAAAAAAAAACACATCAAAATTGGACCATTACTAGCAAATTAACAGCCTATTGGAATTTGTCCACATGTTCACCATACATAATAAAATAAGTGTTCACATATTTGACATTTTGCAATTTTCAATAATAAATCATTGTCTGCGACTGAGAAAACAAAATATCCTTCTCTCTTATAATATATAGCATTTGCTTATTTCCTGATATTACCATTTGTTTACTTACTGATACACTTTGCATATTAGTCCCATGGGAAAACTAATAATACTAAATTAAAAAAAAAGAATTATTCCTTAAAATTTTATAAATAATCAATTCACAATAAACATCTGCAAAAATACTACAATAGGTTTACTGAAGTTTTAACGTGATGTCAGATATATTTAGATATAAGTGATGATCTTATTCAGCTCATTATTTGTTTTCATTAGAACTTATTTTTTGTTACATTTTAACTTTAATTTATTATTGTTATAAAACATTAAAAGAATTGTCTGTTTTCTCTGTAATTTGAATATATGTACTGATAATTAAACTACTTTTCAGTATGGCCTCTACTCAGGTTTCATGGGCTGCTTCGTCTACTTCTTCTTGGGGTCCTGTAAGGATATTACCATCGGACCGACAGCTATTATGGCTCTAATGACTCAAGAGCATGTGCAGGCGCATGGTCCTGAATTTGCCATCCTTCTTACGTTTCTTTCAGGAATAATTATCTTTTCCCTTGGTGTTCTTAGGTTAGGTAAGTGACATAAAAAATAATTTAAAACCTAAGTTCGTTATAGACTAATTTGTTTTGAATTAACCTATACTTTTAGTTATAAACCATTTCATTTATAGGTTTTCTAGTCGAATTTATATCTATGCCTGTCACGGTCGGTTTCACTTCAGCCGCTGCAGTCACGATAGCTTCTTCGCAGATTAAAGGGCTACTTGGTCTTCCTGGAGAAGCAAGAGCCTTCCTTGACTCATGGATTAACCTCTTTACCAATGGTCTCGAGTTGAGGCTTTGGGACACCATTCTTGGAGTTACTACCATCTTAGTTCTAATTCTTGGTAAGGTGAGTCTATTAGGTATATAGATATATATTTCGACAATCAAATCATTCTTGAAAAGGTTAATATATTTTTATTTATTATTTTTAATTAAAGTCAACAAAAGTATTGCAGTTTTTCTTTATTATATTTCATTATTATTATTATTATTTAAATATAAGTATCATAAAGTAGTTTTTATAATTACAGAAAATGAAGCAGGTAAGTGAAAAATGGAAAGGCGAAACACCTACCAAATTAGTCCTTAAGAAAACAGTATGGCTGCTTGGGTTGGCCAGGAATGCAGTCGTCGTCATTATTGGAACTATTTTAGCTTACATCCTCTCTATCCATGATATAAAGCCTTTCATACTAACAGGTATGCATTATATATATTTTTTTTAAATATGAAATATTCTGTAATTTTTCATTCTTATTTATTATTTCTGTTTTTAATCTTCATATGAGCGGCTTCATATCAAAAATAGGCATTTGTCATTTTTAAAAAGTTGAGAAAAAGCCAATGTTTGAAACATAGCTACAATTTAAATAAATTCTAATGATTTATTTTCATGATTCAAATTGATCATTTTAAATAAAACCATCAGAAACAGTTGAAGTTGAACCTTTAAAATAAAAATTGACTTTTTATTTATTTTTTGAATGATATATGTCCGTCTTTAATGTAAAACCACTCATATAATCAGATTTTTATTATTTATTTTTTCTTAAAATCTGGTTTATTTATTGTTTTGTTGTGCCTGTTTTTATAAATATCACTGGTGTCTATGTGAAAACACATAACCGTTGAATCTCAACTATTCAAAAGACAAAGAAATCAAATTTTCATGATATTGAGAATTAAAAAAAAAAAATTGCTAGGAAGTGATAAAAAAAAAATTAAATTAATGATTGATTGTTGTGCATTAAATTTAGGCATAAATAAAATAATTCTAAATGAAGATGATACAATTTCACATTGTGGCCTATGTTAAATTAAAAAACTTTAAATTAAAACAGTGTTCCTCACTTTTAAGTAATTGTATTGTCACTTAAGTATTTAAAACTATAAATCATAAATGAATAAATTTAGAATTAAGAAAATGAAAATTATATTGCTTAGGGAAATATTGACACACATTATTTACATAACATAAAGATGTTGAATTTTTAAATAAATTATCAATGGATATTCCTTATAATATTTAAAGTTACGTAATAAATTCAGCCTCATTAATGTGTAGTTGTGCCACTATTATATACATTTATGCTTTTGAAAGATCAAATATTTCTTTAAATTTAAAATGAAAAAGTTATCTTTATTTGGATGACATTAAACTGAAAGGAACCAACCCAGATAGAATATGTTTTGAGTGAACTCTAGTCAAAGTTAAATGCCCTTAAAAAATCTGGAAACTTTCTAATAAGTATATTCACTTCTATATCTCAAACCTAATTTTATTATATATTTTAGCAACAACAAAATATTGTTATTATATCAATAGATTGATAACAAATGTACTTTATTGTGATATAGTTACTACTTAGTGATATAGTTATTTCTTATATTAATAATCTTGTTGAGGATGGGCATTAATAGTTAATTCTATTTATTAGGTAATGTGACGCCAGGCCTGCCTCCATTCAAGCCTCCTCCATTCACCACCGAAGAAAATGGCACGGTGCTTACTTTCCTTGATATGGTTCGTGAAATGGGATCTGCTCTGATAGTTGTGCCTCTCATTGGAATCCTAGAGAGTATAGCTATTGCAAAGGCTTTTGGTTAGTGTTGTCGAGTTATATTTTAATTTATTTATTTATTAGATTATTGCTGCAATCCTCAGTAAACGTGATCTTTGCTAATTTACAATAATATTGATTTTTAATATATTACAACTATTATGAGTGTTCAGACAACCCTCACGAAGATCTATATACACTAATAACATTATAAGTAAAGAACTATTAGCAGTTAAATTGGATTAGCACAGCTAAAGGATCTTAAAGACAGTATTCCCATGGACAACAAGAAGTGATACTGACAAGACTTAGAATCGTGCTTGCAATACTCATGATATTTCAATAGGGCATAATATATTTGCTAATTAGAAAACCAAGACCAATCTGTACAAAATGCAACTTATTTGTGACTGTCAATATTTAATTAACATTCCTGAAATATTTAATTGTTCTAAACAAATTAGTATATATAAAACAAGTACAGCTGGATTCAAATCTGGATTTATAATTTCCGATCTAGCTCCATAACCATAGACCATACACACTGTTTTCTATCTCATATAATTTTTATTCAAAAGATAAGCTATTTATTGATTTATGTCAAAGTAATGTTCCTTGTTTCCCACAGCTAAAGGTAAAAGCATCGATGCAACACAGGAATTGTTGGCTCTTGGCTTCTGTAACATAATGGGATCGTTCGTGAGCTCATTCCCGACAACAGGCTCGTTCACAAGAACAGCTGTTAATCATGCTTCTGGCGTTGTATCTCCAGCTGGTGGAATAATCACTGGTTAGTATTATTTTAAATTTAAAAAAATATCTAGAATATAATATAATATAAAAAACTTTATCCTGATAGAAAGTCCCTTAAGAATAACAATGTGATACAAACAAATAAACTTTATTTCTGGCCATGAACTAATGAATAACTAAAGAAATAACTATTAAATATAATTATGTACATTGTAATTAAAGATATATTTAAAAAATAGATGAGCAGTTGTGTTGCAGAATATTTGATGTTTTCTAAATAAATTATCTATTACTAATTTTGTTTGTAAGAAATATTTTGTAAAATACAGTTCTAAATATGAACCTTCTTTTCTCTGTTGATAGGTGTTTTGGTTTTATTATCCCTCAGCTTCTTGACGTCAACTTTCTATTACATACCAAAGGCTACGTTGGCTGCTGTAATTATGTGCGCCATGTTTTACATGATAGAGTATCGTGCTGTTACAGTATTGTGGAGGACCAAGAGTAAGTTTTAATTCTAATCTTAATGAACAAGACTGATAATCAATGAATGATGAATATAATCGATGAAATTATGTTATAATTTATAATTTTCAGAATCTGACCTTGTTCCATTCACCTGCACTCTGATAGCTTGTTTGTTTCTGGGTTTGGAGTACGGAATGATAGTAGGGATCACTGTGAACCTCCTCTTTATCTTGTACAATACCGCGAGGCCTTCTGTCACTTTGCAATGGGTCTGGGTAAGTTTTTCTTTCTTTCTTATATTCTTTGGCCCTGTTGTGTATATGTACCTGTTGTATATGTGGGCTGTACCTGTTGTGCTATACCTGTTGTATATGTAGAATAAATCTTATTCTAATAATAAAAAATTTAAATTATTATGAAATTAAACCTTTTTTTTTTAAGTTGAAATCTAATATAGTATATTTATGCTTAAGGGGTACAGACATAACTTATTAGGAATTCTCGTACTAAAAAATACTTCATCCTTTAACACTTTATTGGCTGTCAAGCCATCTTCAGATGGTTCTCTAATTATTTTATCTGTTGAATTAATTAATATTCTAATATCTGTCCTGTAATATAAAAAAATCTGATGTGGTGTGTGCATCACACAACTTTCACTTACCACTCTCTTCTTAGCAGAAATAAGTATTTTCAGAGGCACAAGTAAGGTTTCATGAAAACAAGAATTTAAAAAAAAAGTTATGGAAATAAATAAACCTAACTGCGCAACGAGTGTAGTGAACTAGGGTTCTGAAACTGCCCCAAGGTAGTAATGCAGTATATGCCAACACAAAGCACATTTTTGCAGACCCAACCAGCACAGTGTATCCACCATGGAATCACCACTAACTAAATTTTACCCGCTGTCCCAAAGTTACCCCATCTTATGGTACTTAAAAGTATCTTATTATAATTTTCAGTGTAGCTATCTGGGTAGTTGCACTGGATATTCTATATTTAATAAATGTTAACCTTGAGGTTTATTCCACTTTATGTTGTAATATCCTGTATATATTGCTTGTAGAAACAAATATTTAAATGGATATATTGAAAGAAATCTAACGATGAAGTCAAATCAGAATTTTTCTCCAAAAATCGCTTTATTGTTGGTTTTTATTATAATATGTAAATAATAATGATTTTATTTTTTCTGTTTAAAGATTTTTGTTTCATTTATTATTTTATTTAACCCAACTGTTTGATATTCATTTGTTATACTATCAATATATTAGTTTACGTATAATATATATGTACATACTTTTATATTATAAATCTCAACTATATGGCTTTGCCTCAAAACGAACACAATTCATTAATTATTATATATATTTAAAAAAATAAATAAAACTAATAATTGATATTTTCTAGAAATTAGATTTATGTGGCATGATAAATGTTTTCCAGATTTGAGTTATAGTGCTGTTTCTTTTATATTTAGCATTTGTGATATTTTTATAAAATAATTGTTTCATTACCTCGTGTTGATATAGGACACTCATGTTACACAGGTTAACGACACTGAGGTGTTATTGGTCACACCGACACAGTCGTTGGTCTTCCCAGCTTCAGACTACTTCCGTGAGGTGATCGTCGGTACCTCTCTCACCAGAGGAGTTCCACCTAAAGTGATCATCGACGGCACTCATATCCAGTATATTGATTCTACCATGGCAAAGGTGGGTTCGTTCATCTTAACATTCATTACTAAAATTGACACCTTTAGATTTCATAGAACTCGTTGCAACCTGTTTGCTATTCCTAATTTTTAACAAGTTTTCTTTTAATCCTAATATAGAAGTCCCCTCTAAAACACAAATTACTACTTGGAACGAATTTCAAAACTAGATTAAAGAATTTCTGAATCATCTAACCTTACCTTATCAGACCTGAAGACATTGAAACCAAATAATTACTCATTGTGCCTTAGTAATGTTTTTTTATTTTGTTGCTCAAATGTTAATAATAGAGTATTTATGTTATGATTACCTTACTTTTATTTTTATTTATTTATTTTTTTTTGGTTGTTCTCTCCTTCCTCGCCTTTTCACCCAGGCCAGGGGGTGAGGGCGGGGAATTAATGCCAAAGTTGAAAGACCCTTGGCATCGGGACGCAAAGTTATCAGGTTGCCGGGCAACGTGCGGTGCTGTGATTATATTACTACTTATCATACTTTTATTATAAAAATTATTGACTATCAGGTACAAAAGTATTATCCAAATTTCTGAATTAAAATATTTTATATCACACTGCCAGAAAAACAACATAAGGGAGGGAATGCGGATTTGCCTTTCTTGTTGAAAATGACCTATACTATATTGGTTTAGTTTATTTAAATGTATTAATAATAATTCTGTTTTCTTTTTTTTAGGGCTTGAAGATGGTCATTGATGATCTCAATGTGCGAAACCAGGAAGTGATATTTTGGAGATGGAAGGAGTCAGCAATGTTTACGCTTCTTGGCTTTGATCCTGGCCTTTCAAAGTTTTTCAGGTTTGAGGAGTCTATTCATCAGCTGGTTCAAGGTAATTTCAAAATTTGTATTATAAACTAATTGTAATCTTTTATATTATTTCTAAATATTTTGTATTATTGCTATATTATTTCTTGTTTTTTGTCTCTCATTTTAAAAATCTTCTTCACCTTCAGGTGGGAAAAAGTCACCCTGAAATTTAAGGATAAAAAGTTATGAAGGGAATGAAACTTTATTTGTGAATAACTCCTAAATTATACATTTTTTTCTTGATTGTACCCATGATATTTAGAAAGATTACTAAATTACCAACAAAACAAAAAAAATTGTAAAACTCAGACAATTATTAACAAAGATACAGTCCATTAGTTTTGGTATACTTAATAATCTCTTCCTCTTTAAAGATACTTCATTTACTATTCTACTACCCTTTTTTCCTGGTTGATATATACTTTATTATTTCTTAAAGGCATTTTTTTGTTTGTAAATTTTATATTTTTTAATAATTTAGAAAATCCCATGATTGAGGCTTTATTTTGAATGTTACCTTTCCAGTCAGCATTTAAAAATAGGTCCTATCAAAGCAATTTGTACAAATAATTTGGTCTATTAAATTAAATGGAGTATCGTAATCGACCAAGGAAAAACGATTAATGCCTCCCTTACATAATACATAAGATCTACTTATTTCTGTATTGTTAGCTACTCCTTCAGTGAACAAAATTTTCTGCAAATTATTCGCATGACCCAACTAGTAATTATGAATTTTTATTCATTAAAAACATGTGAAATATACTATATAATTACAAAATAAGCCGTACAAATACATAAAGCTAAATGTTTTGACCCAAGCATAAAGATCTCCATTTGGGCTAAAAATTATCCTATTCTAAAAGGTGTTTTTTTTTTTTGTCAATATGCCATAACTTCATTAATTCTTCGTCAAATCCAATGATTGACCACTCGTTTTGAAGATATTATTCTTCTTCACATGCGAAAAATAGTCCTATCCCCCTAAATTTCTGGGAAAAAAGTTATGTCGGAAAAGAAACTTAATTGTGAATAACTCAAAATATTGCATTTAGGAGTAGAATAGTCTACTACAGTTTTTTTCCTGGCTGATATATTAAATTTATTATTTCTTAAAGGCATTTGTTTTTTCTGATATTTTTTATTTTTTAATAATTTAGAATGATCGGGGCATTATTTTGCCTTTATTACTTTTATTATCTTTCCAGTCAGTGTTTAAAAATAGGTCCTTGCAAAGCAATTTTTACAAATATTTTGATCTATTATGTTAAATAGAATATAGGAATCGACCAAGGAAAAAATATTAATTTCTTCCTTACATAATACATAGGAACTACTTATTTCCATATTGTTTTGCTATTTCTTCACTAAACAAAATTTACTGCAAATTATTCGCACGGCCCAACTAGTAATGATGAATTTTTATTCATTAAAAACATGTGAAATATACCATGTAATCACAAAATAAGCCAGACAAATACATGAAGCTAAATTTTTTGACCCAAGCATAAAGATCTTCATCTGGGCTAAAAATTATCCTATATATTATTTCTAAAAGGTGTTTTTTTTTTTTGTCAGTATGCCATAACTTCATCAATTCCAATGATTGACCACTCATTTTGAAAATATTATTCTCCTTCACATGCAAAAAATAATCCTATCCCCCCGAAATTTCTGGAAAAAAAGTTGTGAGGGAAAAGAAACTTTATTTGCGAATAAATCAAAAAGTATGCATTTTTTTCTTGATTGTACCCATAATAATTAGAAAGATTACTAAATTACCTACAAAACAAAAAAAAAATAGTAAAAATCACTTCGAAATATGTATAATTTAAACAATTTGTATTAACGAGTAAAGAGTATTGATGTTTTTTTTTAAAGGAGAAACAGATGAGATTTGTATTTCGCAACTTGAAAGATCCTCGAATACGAATTTTCATTGCGATCGAAAAATAATTTTTTTTTTCTACGAATTTGACCTAAGAATCCACCTTTGATTTTTTTTTGAAAATCACAAAAAGTGTCATAACTTCAATATGCTTCCACCTATTCACACGAAATTTTGCAGAGTAATAAGGCGTTATAAACTACACGAAATTACACAAACTGTACTTCCCTAAATAATTTAGAACTCAAGTTATAAAATAAAAACCTGTTATGAGTTTTTATTTATTTACCCTCAATAGACATGTTAAATCAAAGAGTTATTTATATGGTCTTGAAGAGTGATAATTCATCTTGCCAACGGTTGTAGAAACATCGAATTAAAATAAAATCGTGAGGAGTTATCAATGTTTTAGTTAACGGCAGGCAAAAACATCATAATGAAAAGTGCTGTCGTTGCCATGATGACTATTTCAGCACTTCACTAAACCAAATTTTCTGTGAATTATTTTTACGGGCCAACTAGTATTACAATATTAAATTACCGACGTGTTATTAATATTTTCTATAACTTCTATTTTACACCAATTTTCTTTTTACAGAAGGCAAGAAGGACAACGGAAGGAGGCAAGGTGACTACGAGAAGGTAGCTACAGTTATTGAAGAGGAGAGGCTGTAGTTATTTTGTTTGTTATTGAATAATTATTGTTATTTTAAGTCAGGTGCACTTAAGTGGCATCTGCCATGCCCCCATTGTTGATTTTTCACAAAATTTTCTCTGCAAATTTTTTGTTTTGTTACTTTATTTAAATATTTTTTATATTGCCTAACTAAAATGATGGGTAAAGTTTTTTTTATTTTAATCCTTATAGCCTGGTTTGAGTAGGAGAAACAAAAATTAATGATGGGCACTTGGGCTGTGAATGTATTTTTAAAAATAATATTGAATTTTTACATTATTTGGTCGATGAATTAATCAGATCGATCAGATTTTAGGAGAAATTGAAGGAAGTTATATTTTTAAAAAGACTTTGTATATTTTGTAAGTAAAAAATAATGAATTCTATTTTTAATTATTTAGAATAAGTTAGCAATTTTTTCTTATAAATAATAGATAAGAAGTATCACTGTAAGTGAAAATTATGATATTAGTCATTTGAATTGAAGTTTTAATTAAAATACAGTGAAGTGGTTAAAAATATTTTATTAAATTATAGTTATTGTTGTTGCTTTTTTTGTTGATAATGTTATACGAGTGAAAAATAATTGTGCTATGTCGTTGCATGTTCATATGCTTAAAATATTTTGTTAATATTCATTTTTTTTTTCTTTTTATCATATTTGTAAAATATTTTAGTATTTGTTTCCTTTGATTGCTTTAATTTTTTTCTGTTTGTTATTTATTAAATTTATTTCTTCTGTTAAACATCTTGGTCTGGTTTTGTCACTAACTGACTTTAACTACGGAGCTTTTTTTTTTTTTTTTTTTGCATTTATTAGAAAATTTAATATTGCCTTTGACTTTCCTAAATTCATGTAAAAATTTTCTAACTCTATTTTGAATAACTTAATAGGAAAAAGAATTAAAATATATTTCATGTGTTTAATTGATCAGTGAAAATACGATAATATTATCGATTGTGATAATGATGATGATTCATTTTTCTGCATAATTATAACAGTTTAAACAATTACGAAAACACATGTTCATCTTTTGATTAAACAAAAAATTATTAGAATTATATTTATTTGGTGAAATTAAAGCATTTTTGTAAGGTTAATTTTAAATTTTTCATTGAAAAAAATAGTAAATCAAAGTGAGCTATTCTACAATATTTAATCCTCACAAACAAAAGTTTAATAATTATATGTATGTTATCCAGGATAATTTATTTTTATCCGTTTCTTTAAAGAAAAATTTATGAATTAAATTTATTTATTTTTAATACTGAGTCATAACACATAAACAAATATCTCTAATAAAACAATGTATATCCGCCTGAAACTTCATTAATAGCTTCATCTCGTCGTAACCTTCAAATATTTTATTGACAAAAACTCTTGAAATTGGGGCATTTTTAACCTGAAGTTGTCAAACCTTATTTATTTAATTATGTTCTAGAAACTCGTATATACCCATTTGCTTTCCCTTTGGATTGTAAGATAATTTGATCACAAAATGGAGAAAAAAGGTGGCCTACAAAAATCTTGGGCCGTTTGGCCTATAATACCTCCTTATTTTAACATTTTGAGTGTTTATGTCATGTCAAACGGCTAATTATTTTTGTAGGCCACCTTTTTTCTCAAGTTTGTGGTCAAATTATCCAACGATTGAAGTGGAAAGAAAATAGATATAAATGAGTTTTTAGTACCTAATTAAACAAACAAAGTTTGACGATCTCCAGATTGAAAATGCCACAATTCTGAGAATTTTCGTAAATAAAATATTTGTAGGTTACGATGAGATGAAGTTATTTACGAAGTTTCAGACAGATGTTAATAATTTGATAAGAAGAGGTCTGTACCACGTACTAATAATTTATAATTGTTAGTCAATAAAATTAAAACCTTTAAAAAACTATAATGGTTATTATATTTATTTGCATTTTATAACATTTATGAAAACAAATTCATTTGTATAAATAATGGTTAATATAAATTGTACTCGTATATGTAAGATAAATTTCTATTTTGGTTTCTGAGCACTTGTTTTGATAAATGTGTAATATACTAATATAAACTTTTATTCCAGTTTTTAAAAAAGTTTTTTAATTCTAATAGGTACTGTTGAAATCATATGCATTGAATCGGTTATTTCAGAAACGAGCCATGTGAATTTTTTTTACGATTTTGAAAACCACACAAATTACTATTTTATAATAAAATTTTAATAATTATAGTTATGCTAAAAATATATAGTGTAAAGAACCTATCATACAATACTGTCATATAATATCTATATATATTAGATATTATATATTAGAGGTATTATACAATACCTATCATATAATACTGTTAATGCAATGTGTTTTCTTGTATTAAAAAATGTCTTTACGAATAATGTACACATGAGCTGTTTCCAAAATGACCAATTTAATTATAAACTCCTTAGTAGTAAGTTTCTGAACCAAAACGCTGTTGGATCACCTAATGAATACCACCTATATGAATACCACACATTCAGTGGTTCAAATATTGTAATACTATAAGATATTTAACTTTCCTTTAATTTTATGGTTTTTGGATATTTTAAATATTTTATCTGCATTTTGCCAGTTTTATGGCTTTTATTATCATAGATAGCTAGATTTTAACATTTAATATTAAATATTGTCCTCATTTGGTGCTGATGTACCTATTTATTACCTAAGAAGTATTCATACCATATTTGGCAGGGTTTTAGCGGTAATTTTTCACCATACCTTTGTGATTGACATATTGCTATTAAGAATACCTTCCTATTTGAGAAAAATGATGTTATATATTTGATAGATGTTACATTGAAGAGAGCACAATATTATGTGATTGTATTTTTATATTCTGTCAAGCCATCGTTATGAACTATAGCATTTATTACGTGGTTAGCCAACATCTGGAGTAACCATTGTTTTATTATCTGTGATCATTGCTTGTATATTCCAAAACCATTTTCACTGTGATCTTGTCGTTCCATCCAGGTAGTTTAGCCTTAACCAAATTTATCCAATTGTCAGTTGTAGATATTTTGTAAATAATATAAATATGTCTAATTGTAAATAAATATATTTTGTTTGTATATTCTGTTTTTATATTCCCTGCAAATTTGAATAAATAAAACACTTGAGAGTTATCTTCTTTCCAATACTTTAATAAAACCTAAAACACTTTTAAATAAATTTATTGATGGAATAATAATCTATACAAAATAAATAAATAAATGAGCTTTCAGTGTGATATAGAATAGAATATACTTTTATTGTGATCAGGGAAGTCCCCATACAATAGGAGTGCGTACATAAATCATATTTAATAGAAAATTTTCTTCTTTTTGGTGCAACAAAAAAAATATATATACACATACACATATATGAATACTGTTAAGCAAAAAGTTGCTTAGTTTAGGTCAAACTTCAAATGAAGCCTAACTATTATTAAAATTGAGTTAATGTGATTTAACAAAAAAAAAAGTGGATTGTATCTTTGAAACATTTAAAAACATAAAAAACAAAAAGAAATCAATTTTACAACTTGTTAAATAGATAAAATAAAATAATAACCTCTAGAATGAAAATAAAGAAGAGCTGAGTAATGCTAAGAAAACAATTGTGAAATATTTAATAAAATATTTCTATGCTTGATCATGGAAATAAAAAATTAAAGAAACTATATGGCTCAAAATTACAATAACAATAGAAACAAAAACAAACTTCTTTAGAGTCCCAAAATAAAATTTATAATAACAAAATAACAAAGTTGCATAAGGATATGTGGAAACAAACCAGGACGTTCGTAATTCTCTATCTCTATGCAGCGGCCAAGTGTAGATTTTCCATGGGCGTGCTCTAAACGAACTGCAAGTGGGCAGCGGTGAGTGTGCCTCGAGAGAGAGAAGTATCTCTTCTTCTAAGGTGGACTGCAGTGGGCAGTGCTACAGTTGGCAGGACTGAGCTCTGTGACGGAGGTTGTCAGACTCCGTATTGGCCAAGATTACGGACTTAGGACTTGGACCTTGGACCTGTTTATAGCCAGGGCTACAATCCATAACAAGTAGTCCAAGTATAAAACATTGATCTATTTAATATAAACAATATAAGCTATAATACTTAATATATACATATATTATACATAAATATAAAAATATAATAATTAATTGATTTCATTTTGATGAAATAAACCAAATCAACAATTAATTAAACTATTGTTAAATGTAAAAATAAAATAAATTAATACTGTGGTGTTTTGTTAAATGTAAAAATAAAATAAATTATAACAAATACAATCAAATATAAATTTAACTACAATAAAAACAGAATAAAATAAATAATAATAATTAGCAAAAAATATATATCCATTACTTAAGACTTCAAAAATAACAAAATAATAATAATAAATAAATAAAAAGAAAATTTTAATTCAATGATCTATCACAAAACCTCATAAATTTAAACTTGAACTGGTGTATATGTACATTTTTTTATTATTTTCAGGGGATATGTTTTTTGAGAAATATGAAGAAGTTTGAAGGTGTCAACTGAACTATGGCTGGTATAATGATTGAGTGGTAGGAGGAGTATACTGAGCATGATGTGAAGAAATAGTGAATATTGTCAGCTTCTTTCTTATTGCAGATGGTTCAGGTTTCTATTGGATTGAATCTGTGGTTTATGGTTTTGATAGTTATTTTTTGGAACTTAATGTTACCTGTCCGGATTTGAGCCATATGCGTAAAGGGCCAGGCCAGTTGTTAAGTAGTTTTGAATTATTTGTGTTTCATTATATATAATTCATACAGTAATTTGATATTTCGGTTTTGGATAGATCATCCATTTTTAAGAAATCTTTATACTTTTGAATGAGGGTTTTAATTCTATTTTTCCTACCTTTTGCATCCTTAGAATTCGTAATTGTGTCTTATTCATTAATTGTCTCAGTTGTAGCACAAAGTTCTTTTTCGTGGTATGTAGAAATTTCTTGGCTAATAAAATGAGTTTCGTGAGGCATATTTTTGGATACCTAGATTCTTCCATATTTAATATTTTATCAGTCCATTTCAACGCTTTTTGTAGAACTATAGATGAGACATTAAGGACTCCACATTCAAGTCGGGACAATGCAGTCTGGTGTGGTACGGTGTAAGCCCAGTATTCTATTGTCATATTGAAGCTGACTTTGTTCAAGCATCGGTAGATAGCTCATCCCCCACACTTTCGAACTGTAGAGTAAAACACTGAGGACCATCGCTTCACAGAGTTTCATCTTTGACTCCTAATCTTTATTTTTCGCTTTTGCTAGAATGTCATTTGTGGCTCCACTTGCTACAGTGTGATACACATTTTAAATTTATTTATTTGTATTTTGAATTATTATTTTCAATAATGAAAATTTATAATTCACCAAGAAAAAAAAAAAATAAACCTTCCTCAAAGTTTGAGATTTTAGGTTTCAAGATATGTGAAAAAAATGAACAAAAATAAAATTTGAATATCTGGATGGTTTTCAGAACTCGGCTTTACTATCAATCTTATACTAATTTACATTTGTTTGTTATGAGAAAATATTCTCATTCGATATGTATTAACAAATATATGTAACAGACTGCTATGTTTAATTTTGTAAAGATGTACATTTATTTTAATTGAGAATATTTATGTTAAAAGTAAAGAAGCATTTATTGTAACCAAAACCGTATTTGTATGAAACATTCCTGGAAAAAATCAAGCAAATAAGTAATATATATGCTTCCATGTTCTATGATTTGACTCTTTAAGAAATTGTTAAGTTAAAGTACACTTAATTACACATAATACTCACACTAAATACACACAAATATTTATTTATAATCCACATAGAGAAAATTAGTAATAGAAAATTTTCTTGTTTGATTAAAGAAAATGTTTTGTTATATTTTTGCAGTGAAGATATTAAATAATTAGATATACTGTAAAAAAATGTATTTTGGTTACATACATATTTACTTATTATCATCTTCAATTCCTCTTCTATCCCTACTAGACTCCATATCAATCTTCCATTGTCTGGAACGGTGCTGGAAGTCTTCTATCAGCTCTTTCAGGGCACATGCTGCTTTCTCTTCCACAGCTTCAATAAACTAAGATCTTGTTCCTTTTGAGGCATATTTCACCTTACAAAATAAGTAGAAGTAACATAGCATAAGATCCGGCATATAAAGCAAATCACTGGGATGCTGTACTTCGCTAGAAACCTCTTGACAGACAATGCAGAATGAGCCGATGCATTATCTTGGTTAAGAACCGAAAATTTATCCTTCCACAATTCGGATCATGTTTTCCTTATTCTTTCAAGGAGTTCAAAACCCTCCTGAGAGTTGTTATCCCTGATGACCCACATTTTTGGATCGAAATGTCAACAAAATTAATAATATAATTTTTTTAATGTACATTCTGACTATTTTTCATACTTACAAACAGTTAACTATATATCCATCTCTGTTTTATTTTTATCAATGATTATATCAGTAAAATAATCCTTCAGAAATGTACTAATTTTAATTTTTCCAACAACTATTACTACTTAAATTCTAAATTCCATGACGAGTTCAAATTCAATAATATGCGATATTAAAAAAAAAAAAAAAAAAAAAAAAAAAAATCAAATTTCAAGTTTTCAATGAGGATAAACATATGTATGTAGTTACACTCAACTCTCGATAATTTGAAATCCAAGGGACTACAACAAAACTTTGCATTATTGAGACTTCAAGTTATCGAGAAGTTTGAAGTATCAAGAGGAAAGAAAACAAATTTTAATTTTTAAGTATTTTTAAATAGCGTCATGTAAAAAATATTACTAGGAAAATTTGAATCATAAAGAGGAAAAATGATATAGTTCGAATTATAGAACATTCTGTCCCACCCTTGTTACGAAAAGAATTTTGAGTTATCGAGCTATCCAAACAGCATTTTTTTTTTTATTTACTGAAGATTTGTTGCTGAATTGTTGAAAAATTTGAATTATCGAGGTTCAAATTATTGAGATTTGTGTGTTTCAAGTTGTGTCCATTTTTTCAGCATTAATATTTTGTTGTAAGTAGTTATTCCTGAATACCCCCTGTAATCTGAATTATACTGCAGCAACTATATGTATTATTTCTACTGAATATACTATATTAATGAGACTGCCCTGTATGAATGAAATATACCATTTAAGTACATTTACAAAATGTCCACTTTCTAAACAAAATTTAACACATACTGCTATCACTATCAGCAATTCATGTTTCTCAATCTGTTATCTCTTAAACCTTATATATTAAAATAATTAAATGGGTTATATTATTCAATAGAAAAGGTCACAGATTTAAAAAATGAAATATATTTCTTTATACAATGAGGAACACTATGTACAAATTAGCAATCATTAAAATATACAAAGATAATAATCTAGTTAGGTACATGGTCTCAAAATCTTGTTAAGATGATTCTGTATGCGAGACAATCCATTTCTTAACTTATTTTTTTAAAATTATTATTATTGCACAGAATTTTCAATAATTTTTTTTCTCTGGAAAAACATTGCTACAAAGTGTTTACATAATGGAAATAAAACCAGTCATTTAACATTACAGTTACGGCTTACAAAATAACTTAGAAACTAATAATACTAACAAAATGTTTTTTTGATAACACTAAAGTTAAAAAAAAACCCAGACAGGTGATAGTTAATACTGAAAACCAAAAAATATGGTGTTAATTTAAAAAAAGATGGGGAGAAGGGAATTTCGTTCCTCTAAAAAAGAGTTATTCGAATTTTGATACAAATACTGTTTTAGGATAAGATGAAACAACAATTCTTAAATATATATAAAATTTACATGATCATAGCCTCTTCAATAACTTAGATTAATTTAAACACTTTTGCCGTACATTTTTGACACAAGTCCTTAAAATATATTTTATTCTGTTTTAAAATAAAGATATTAAAGAAAATATAACATATATATACACAAGATAGACGGTAATGTTTTCAGTATAAATAAAAAACAAATAAAATAAACAACCGAAGTAAATTATTCTATATTTATGGCTTAATATTCGAAATATAAATTTGCTTAGTTCCGTTCTGTAATATGTTCTTAGTTGTTATACACTTAGCGGATGTGTACGCGAGAACATAACACTGGAATGATAAACAAATTGGAGTGATCTGATCTCTCCTTTTCTCTTCGGTGACAGATCACGACTGGCTGATGCTGGATTTCGGCCTGATCATCATCATCGCCTTCTTCAGGGTGTAGTCCCACCCTCTCCACCTGAACCACACGATACCTGCAACAAAACAGATGATCCAATAACCTTGCACTCTTATAGCCCTGGCTAAATTGATCCATTCTTTATAATGTAGAATAAATTTTAATTTTAGCCTCATATAATTATTAATATAGAAAACAACTTCAAGTTATATTTTGTTCACAATATATTGTAAATTGCTGGAAATAACGACCATTTAAATTTTCCTCCATTCAAACACCATCAGAATGCAAATCACATAAATGCAGAATATAGATAACAACAAGTATATCTCAAATGAACAATTTAAAAAGTATTTGTAACAGCAACAGATATTAATTGAGCAGCACAGTTGTTTATTCTACCAACAACAATATGAACCAGGTGAACAACAGGACATCTGAGAGAGTAAAATAATAAAACTGCAGGCTTTATTAGCTGCAGCAAAGAAATACTTTCTATCATTCCTTTATAAGTTTATAACTTTATGTATATATATATTATTGTAATAATGTAGATGTGAATCAGTTGTATATATTTTTAATAAAGCTGTACGTACAGAAATATTTTGGACAAAGTTAAGGAAATGGTAAATAAAAGTGCCGGTGAGATGCCTTTCTATGTTAATGTTTATTACAAAATTATAAGGCTGTAGTCAAGATAAGACACTGTCTATCTCCCTTCCCATCTTTCTAAGATTGTCTTTGAGAACTATGCTCACTAAATTTACTCATAAGTTCTCACTTTATGTTACCTTATCACATTCTGTTTTTTTAAATTTCATTATACTTGGTTCTCTCAACATTAAGGTAATCTTGGAAAGTTTTTCTTCAGTCATCTTCCCTCTAATCCTCCTCCATAATCCTAGGGCTTTTCTTTTATCTCTTATTCACAATTACTTTTATAGGATAGCATACAGTATTGAAGCCTTCCTCGACAACGACTAACCAAGAAAAATACAGTATAATTGTAAGGGTGCTCAATAGTATTGAATTGTTGAATAGCAGAGCATACTTATCAGTATAATTGATAATTTTTGAGAAAAATAAACAAAGGGATGAAGTTAGACAGGAAGGAAAATTATCTTAAATATTGAATGTTATGATTTTTTTTCCTCTTGTCCCTTTCTGTTACTGGTATATATAAAGCAATGAACGAAATTAAAGTAACATTTCAAGAATCTAAAAAATATAAAGAAGTAGTAAAAAAATCATCGTGGTGACTGAATAAGGTATGTAAAGCTAATGGTCCAGATAAATAATGAATAAATTAACTAAGTTAAACACTGATTTAAAGTTGACTAAGGCACAACACAGACAAGGTATCTCGAAGATTGAATTTTTTATGGCATTAATTAGATGGAAGCTCTAAGTCAAAGATTGCCGGTAATATCAGAATAAACTCTCTGAGTTTTCAAAGTACAACTTTTATTAAGGTTAAAGAAAACTATTTTGTTGGAAAAGTTTTGGTAAAAAATAAAATAAATAATTGTTTTTTATATTAAGCATTAAACAGCTGACTGAACTAAAGCTGAAGAATAAGATGGGCATAACTTTGAGGATAATGACGCTGACAATACTTTGATCCTTACCTTGCCTAGCTGTGATATCTTGAGGGTCAGTGAGGTACAGCCCATTCAGACCACGGCCGCAGGACTTCCACCACCAGCCACCCTTCAGCATCGAGGCACAGTTCAGGCTCGACCTGTCATTATCCCTAAAACAATAATTTATATTAATCATTTCATTTTTAGTGAAATAATAATTTAAAAACATAAAATATTTAATGTAAAGTAGTGATTTTTACAGGTATATATCAAAAATTAATAATTGTTAGATGATATATATTTTAAATGATAGTCATAATTTGTAGAATTTCTTATTATAATGATTTAGGATTGAATAAGCCATAGCTAGATAATTTGAGAGTCTGTCGCTGATTTTGACCAATGAGTTTCAAGAGAATCGTCTAGTCCTGCCTAGAACTTCTAGGCTAAATAAACCCATTCAAGCTTGCAGGCCTATAATTTCTTAGTTTTGTTAGTTTTAGAAGAGAAGTTTTTAGTATTTGGTTGAGTTTGAGTTCAGTATATCAATCAATCGGTTCAAAGTTAACTTGAGAGTGAGTTCTTTGATAGCAAATTAATTGTATAGAGTTATCAGTAATTATGCTCATATTGTTTTTTGTTTATAGAGTTTGTGAATTCATTCCTTGTATATTGTCTAGTGAAGATTATAATTTTATTTATGTTATATAGGCTTTTGGTAAAGATTGTATTTTAAAATAATAATTAAAATTTTGATTAATCAAAAACAATGATCAATAAATTGTTAAATTTAGTTGTTATAGTTAATCGAAATTGACTGAAAGATGAACCATTAAAAAATATTATATTTTAAATGGTATTACCTGTTGTATGTTGAAAAGGGTGAGTTGTTTGATCCATACCATGGATCGTTCAGAGAGTCTCCTGCATTTCCTTCATATCCGTCAATCTCCAATTTGTAATATTCTCCTTCAGAGTAAATCTTGAAGTGGGAGTACTGGGCATATCTGTAAAACACCAAATCAAACACTATAATATCTATAATCCTTTGAAAAATCATCTAGATCTGAACAGAAAAGATATGTAACTATGGAGAACAAGATGAAGTTCAATGCAGAAAAATAGAAGCAATTATAATAGAAATGAATTTCTTACTAAAAACTCGATTTAATTCTATCTAAATAACAAAAATCTTTGAATAATTTTTTACTAAACTCTTTCTTTGAATATCCATCTGATATTTCCCATTGAAATTTTGTTACTTTATAAAATAAATTATAATGATTATTTTTAAGACATCATAAATATCTTTTAAAACAAAAGTGACCCTACCTCTTGTTGCCCTCGAAATCTTCCAGCTCCACCCTCAACATATGCTCTTCATTGTTGGTCAACATATAGATGTTTTCATTTCCAAGCCAGAACTCCTTTGCTGGATCTCCGAAACCATTCTTGTAGTCGCTCCAGTCCCTATTGAAGTTCTCTCTTGGTTCACCTACATCGTCACGTCTCTGGATCACCTGCACAATAAAACCATAAATATTAATCATTCTAACTTAAGTTATTTACAGCTAATCTTCGAGTTATTTTATTTTATTATTATTCAAGCTATCAGCGAGTGTTTCTTTATTTTGTTTTAGAATTTTCTAATTATATTCTAACAATAATTATATGTTTTTATTATATAGTTCATAACTAACTTCCTTCAATAAAAACCCGTACTTATCAGATTACCAGGTGAAATATTCTTAAGGGTTTTTAAATTTTGTCAACAGGTCGACAAAGCTATAATGCTATCAACAATCTTTATTAATGAAAAAATTAATACTTGAAAACAATTGTGAAATCATTTGTATAAAAAAAGTATGTGATGTTTCATTTTTCTTCATGCTGGCTTAAATTATTTGTAGTTAAAATTTCAATATTAAAGATAATTTTTTATCATTGTTATTCTTTTAAACATATATCATTAGAAGCATGTGCTCAGGTGCAGGGGTGCCCATCCCCTCCAAGGTCGATGGCGTAAGAACCTACCTGGCCTCCCCTTCCTAAGATATTTTGTTGCTCACTTTTTCTTAAAAACAGAAGAAGCTAAGGTAGAGGTAAAAAAAATCTTAGATCATATACAGTTACACTTACTGTGATCTGTTTTATGTTTCCCCCTTGTCCCTTAGTCTGAAAATTCACAACCCCATCAAAATTTGTCCCCTTCGAAAATTCAAACCCCCGTCAAAATGTAGATGGCGCAACTTGCATCCTGAAACCCCCTTCTGGGCACCCCTGCTCAGGTATGTTAAGAAGACCAATCATTAGTTTAGTCTTCTTCGGTTACATTTTATAGAAGTATAACTATGATATAATTATTTTATTAGAGAAAACATAACTTCTCACTATAGTTCTTTATTAGTGCTCTCAACCAGTGCATCTTCAGTGTTTTTATTAAATCATTTTTATCGCATCAATAAGACATTATTTATATAACCATTGCATATTTTATTTTTATATATTGAGTTTTAAAAAATTTCCACTTGGTGGGAAAAGTTCGATATTATTTTGATGATAAAGAAATTTAATGAAAGAAATTCACTAATATATAAAATATATATAAGCATATAAATAAATAAATGTTAAAAACTGTGACGACAGAAAATTGAATAGAATAAATCTTTTCTAATCCCAGGATCTGTTAATATGGTGGACTAGAAGCTTTTAACACAGTCTACCATAACAGAAAATTGTTTTTAATGATTTAATTATTTTTTTGTGTGGGTACCGATATAAAATTTTTTATCAATTCAACCTTTTTTAAGATTAGACTGTTTAAAGTTCAATTGTATTCAAAAGTATTAAATTATATTAATTGAAGAAAGACAAATAAAGAAGTAGATTGAGAAATACTTACCGTCCATCCTCCATCAGAAATTTCTTGTTCGCAGAAGACCTTGAGGAACCAATAGGTTGTACCTCTGATCTGCAGATAATAGACTCCAGACTGCCTCATACCAGCGCTCATCAGGTCCGTGCAAGAATAGCCCTGTAAAATTAAGCGGTTTTTAATATAATGTAGATCTTATTCTCATTGATTTTATCAAACAATGCTTAAATGCCTAATTTTCTACATTTATTTCTCTAAAGTACCTTTTATTTATTTTTTATTTAAAATTATTAACCATTAGAAATTCTAGCTTTTAAAAATAATGATTGAATATGAAATATGAAAGGATTTGATAATTAACTAAGGGAGAAATAATAACAGAAAACAGAAGAAACCCAAGAGCGCACCGGAACTTGGCTTAAAAGTCAAAATAAGCTTCCATATGTAACACATACTTAATTAATTAATGCGGCTGAATGAGAGGCGCTGGGATCTCTTTGAGTCCTGCCTTTCCTTCCACAGGAGGGGAAAAATGCTTGGCTCGGAGATCTTGAGTGAATGAATTTTGTAAATATTGTTTAAAAGCATGGGTGTATTTAAGTAGTTATTTTGATTAGTTTAGTTTTTTTCGTTCAGTTTAGTTTTAGTTTTAGTTTATATACATTTAATTTTAGTATTATTTTTTTTCGGTTTATTTATTGTAAACAGAGTTTGAATAAGCGACTCTTCTGTCACTATTAATATTGTCTTTAGATGTTACTGATTATAATATTTCTCAATAAAAAATTGAATTGAAAAAATAAAATACAGCCTTCAATAATATTATAAACAGATACTTGTGCGGTATTCATAAATGCTAGTGTTGGTATTATTTAATATTGAATTGTATAGATTACAACAATTTCAAAATTAAAATTTGTATATAAACCAATATTAAAAAAATTAAAATATCTACAATTAAATATATCTATTTCTGATAAAATAAAAGGTGGTAAGTGAAGGTTGTGTGATGCGTATTTTATTAAATTCCTTTTCATAACAGACAACAAATAACCAGGGTCTTCTAGAAGCAATGGTTTGAAATGGTTTGAAAATGAACTCCCACATATTATTTTCTGGGAACATATAACCTAATAATTCGGAGCACTTTGTGCTATAATGATCAGATTTACATGGTTTAAGACGTGTAAATGGGTTGAATATAAAAATCCATTAGAAAAATATATTTCTGAGCGGTTGGGTTGATTTATGCTATTTAATAATACACGCTTAATGGCTGAGTATTCCATTTCAGAAAGCTGTTTGCCTCAGATACATGATGATATGAATAATGCCGTTGAGTTCAATATGTAAAGTGGAACTACATATGCATGACATTATGTTTACCCGTTTCGACATGAAAAATGCAATTATATGACGCAAGGCCAGTTGGATTTGGTAAGTCTGCTTGTAGAATACATTGCTCAGAGCATCGCCTTATACAGGCCTGTCTGAAATCTAGTTTTGCCTAAGTCAACATTATCTATCTGTGTTACTGAATCGTGTATATGTCTTTCAGGTCGAACTCATCGCGCAATCCGCAATTTATTTGGAGAAAGATTAGATTTGATCTTAACATCAGTTTCGGCTATGATGTCATGGGACCATTTGGTTTCGTATGATTGGTGAATAAATATGATAAAGTGAAAGGAGTTTAACAATAATTGAAACTAAGATCGATAGGGCTCAACTTGAGTCTTCACTAATTTTAAGACCTCTTCAACAATTAGAGCAGGATCCCCTGTGACCGTGGGTTCCATTGTGCCTGCGTGATGTTACGTGTTACCGCGGTACAAATATTGCCGGCCTAACTTACTTAACCGGTAACAGAGATCGCCATGTATGGCGGTAACTGCATTACGAACTATTTTATGCAAAATAAAAAGCCCTGGCTAAAATATTACATTATTTATAGCATTTATATTTCTTAAAAAGAAATTTTATGTTTTCTATACATTTTTAAAGTATTATTAAATAACTATTTACTGTAAGGCTTAAATTATTCTTTTTTATTATTATTAAGAAAATGACAAACAATGAAAAATGTAGGAAAAACACAAACGAATAAGTGCTCATCGCGTGACTATTAAGCTATATATGTGCCCACTATTATAAGAAGGATAGGGACTCGTGTAATAGAGGCACAAAATTATTTCACAGTCGTCTTAAAATAAACAGCAGAAATACATCACTGAATATTTTTTTTTTTTTGAGACTTAAAACAATGTGAAAAAGATGGCGGAGGGGGAGAAGAAGTGATAGTAGTAAACAAACAGTGCGCAATTTTTTTTTTTTTTTTGGGTCCTCCCCTTTTTCGCCGTTAAGGAGTTTTCCCGGACCAGTGGGTGTGGGCGGGGATTTAAAAGACGCCTTGGCACCGGGACGGGAACTTGTGACTATTTTTATATCATTAGAGTCATATATCGGGTTGCCGGGGAACGGTGGTGCTGTGCACAACGCGTTAGCTCATTCAGCCATCCCGCCCACCTACACAATTTGTATTTGAATTATTGAGTTTGTTACGCGGTTCTTTGATTGATAAAAAGTCTTCTTAATCAACTAATCCAGATTAATCACAGTTAATCAATCCCTTCCTGAAAATACTTGATGAAGATATATAAGACAGTGGTGAACTACCTTGACATCCTTGATGGGGACGATCTGCTGATCGGTGACGAAGGTGCTGCTGGTGTTGGCGGGGGCGGGCTTGTTCTTGACGCTGGGGAAGATGAGACCTCTGCTGCGATCCCGGTTGCCGACTCTGCCGTTGGCCGGGGGTTGAGCGCTGGAGGGTGGCTGGGTGCTTCCCGGAGGAGTCGTGAACGTCACGGGTTCGGTACTGTCCTCGGTGAACCTGTTCTGTTCGGTGTACCTGTTCTGCTCGTACTCCACCAGCCGCTCGATCGTCGGGTCCAGCAGAGGTTCCGGCTGCCGCAGGGTCACCACTTCTTCTTCCTGCTTCTTCAACCTCTTTTCCACCATTCCCAAGTTGGCTATGATCTTGTTAGTGTTTGCTCTGAGGTCGGCGTGGATGTCACTGATAGCCCTTTCTTGCCGCTGAGTCTGCGTCAACAATTCGTCGGATTTTGGTACTAAATCGTCCACAGAAACTTTCGTCCCGACAACTACGTTCCAGACTTCGTCCATCTTGTTAGACACGCTGAGCATGGGGTGCATCTGCCTCACCAACTTGTCCAGCTTGGAGTTCTTGATGATGGTGGTCGGGGGTGTCGTCGTCCTGTTCCTGAACGGCTGAGGCTGCATGTTCTGCACTACCACTGGCTCGACAACTGCTTCGTGAATATCTGTCATCATGTTGAGGACTTTACCTAGACTCTCGGACACGACGTTGATGTGGAACTGGAGCTTCCTGTCCAGGTTGGTCGTACTTCCTCGCAGAGCTTCTAGTTCGCTGGTGATGACCTTGGATACATCCAGAGTGGTTACCGGCTTCTTCTCGCTGGCTTCAGCGTTGATGTCGTCCGAAGGCAAGAAGTTATTGTCCAGTTGGTTCTTGAGGACGATGAGCTTGGTGTCGATGTCGCTGACTTTCTGATCCAGCGCTACCAATCGCATGTCCAGGTTACTGCTCGCCGACTTGGGAAGCTTGGAGTCCAAGGCCCTCAAGTTGGTTATGATGGATTCGGTCTTGTCGATGTTGTCGTTCATCCTCGAATCCAACTGTTCGACCCTCCTCATCAGGTGTTCCACGGCACGGTCCAAGTTTTCTATCCGTTGCAGTTTCGTTTCTAGCGTTGACACTATTACTTCGAAGACATTGAAAAGGTATTGTTCCCTGCAACAGAAAAAACAAAATTCTATCATATTTATATACAATAACGTTTATAATTATTAACAATTTATTGATGAAATACACATACAATTATACAAAAATAATACATATCCAAAGGAAACATTATTTGTAAACATGGATTATAAATAAATAATATTTCTATACTCACAAATCATATGAACATAGCAAAATACGTAACAATATCAACAATCAATGCCATAGGGCGGTGTAAGAACAACGCTTGACAAAGATATGTATTTATTGTATATACTTATATATTGTAATAGTTGAAAATTAAATTGAGGATAAGAAAAAAAACAACAAACACGAAATATAGTATTATCAACTGAAATTATATTGATTAATAAAATACATGTACCTATAATAAAATCAAAGCTCTTTTAACACTATCAGGAAGGCAAGTTCAAAGCGCTGTTCTCTTTGTCGACTCGCAAGCATCAATCCTCGCCATTACTGACGTGAATAAATGTCTGTCGAGTGCTATCTTGGAGTGCAAATCCCTTCTCTACGATCTAACACTCCGAGGCACCAATGTGGTCCTACAGTGGTTTCCGAGCCATTTCGGTATTCCAGGAAATGAGGAAGTGGACAGTCTCGCCAGGAGAGGAGCAATATTGCCACAAACAGTCCATCCAAAATCTTACGATTCAATCTGACGAATGGTGAGGATGGTAGTGAAGGAGGAAACAAAAAATGCGCACAAAGACAAGGTGGAAGGGAGACGTTATGGATGTTTGATGGAAAGCCCGATCCCAGCAGACCTACCAAGAAGAGATGCAGTAGTCTGCTTCCGCCTGGCCACTGGTCACGACTATCTACAATGTCATCTCCACAAGATAGGCCCTGGCTGAGGAGTCTAGGTGTAAATTATGTGAACAAGCAGAAATGGATGCAGACCAACTGGGCAGAAAGATGTCGGATGGTCGAATGAACAATGACTATGGCATAGGAAAAAATAAAAATAAATAAAAATATACCTATAAACTCAGATCATGAAAGACAAATTTACACGAAAATAATTTTTAAAAAATGATAACTCAATCTCCACTGGGTTTAGCCCCAGTGACGCGGTTGAGAGAGAAGTGCTGGGATCTCCTGGAGCCATGCTTTTCCCTCCACACTTGGAGAGACAAGTCTGGTTTGGAGTTCCCTCCCCAAATTGTAAATATTGTATATAGGTATGTATGTGTTCTTTTTATTTATTTATTTTTAGGTTATTTTATTCTTATTTATTGTATATATGTTATTTTTCTGTATAATTTATTTTATTTACTGTACATAGAGTGTGAATGTGATCTGTTAACACTATTATAAATGTCCTTGAGACAGATTGTAATATTTTTCAATAAAAAAAAAAAAAAAAAAAAAAAAAAAATGATATGAGGGAATCCAAAAGATTTTACATCAAATAATTAAGTATTAAATTCTTTAAATAATTTATCAGAGCATCATATTTAATCGGAGGAAATTAATTTTTTGTTTAATGAATTTTGACCTTTTTTATCGATAAAAAAATTTAAAATCCATTGAAATCACACAACTCTTATACATCAAATATTTGCATCAACAATCCCACGATTTCTTGATTTCACAAACGGAAAATTCATCAAAGTTCATAATTATGTAAGCTTATGAAAAGTCACTTAATGATTTATTATAATAAACCGACGATATGGTCTCTACTCTACTTAAATTTGTTTTCGCAAACCACCTAACTCCAAAGCGGAATTTAATAAAAAAATGTACTAAATCCTCCTACAGTTTCTACATTCAAAGGCTACAGAGCCCATTGGCATGTTCAACATACCTCAAGTTATACCATAATAATAATAATAATAAGGCTTAGCGAACCCGAAGGTTCGATGCCGACACCACTAATCGCTTGTTACACACCTCCCTCCACAGTTCGCCGTCCAAACCCAGTCCCTTCAGATCGGCTTTAATGCAATCTTCCCACCTTCGCTTCGGTCTTCCCATCGGACGCTTACCATTCGGCACAGCAAATATTAACCTTTTAGGAATTCTCTCGTTACTAAGCCCAACAACATTACAAGCCCATTTGATTCGCCGCGATGAAATTTCCTCAATTATATTACCCGGATACATCTCACGCAATTCGGCGTTGTGTAACCGTCTGAACTCTCCGGTTAACTCATCCTTCTTCGGTCCGAATATTCTACGCAATACTTTATTTTCAAAAACCTTAAGACGCTGCTCATCCCTTAATGTAAGCGGCCAAGTTTCGCATCCATAAAGAACTGTAGGCAAGATAATTGTTTTATAGATTCTAATTTTTAAGTTTCGGGACAAGAGGCGCGAACTAAGTAGTTTTGTCACAGAAAAATAACAAGCATTCCCCGCCTTCAGTCTAACCTTAATCTCTTCTTCAATTTCGTTTTTTCTAGTTATCGTAGAACCTAGATACCTAAATTTATCTACCTGTTCAAACATATTACCATCTATATCGATATCACCAGTAGTATCGCCATTTTTGCAGCTAACCATATATTTTGTTTTATCCACGTTTATTTCGAGTCCTAGTTCTTTACCGGCTTTCATTAACGTTGTCGTATTTAGTTTTATAGTTTCAACGTCTTCGCTTAACAGTACCAGATCATCATCATAGCCCAGCACGGATGTTGTCCCGCCCAGATCCAACCCTTTCTCGGTTCGCATTACTTCCCTAATGGCATGTTCTAATGCCAAATTGAACAGGACAGGCGAAAGAGAATCCCCCTGTTTTAAGCCCGAACGAACCTCAAATTTTTCGGACAAATTATTACCGATTCTAACTTTATTGAGTGTCTCTGTCAAGCACATCCTGACTAGATTTACTAGTTTTTTTGGAATCCAAGTTATACCATAATTTCTTATAATTATCTCCCCTTCAAATTTTTTTTATTTTTTATTTCCAATAAATTCTAATTGGATATGGCGAGTTTTGATTCTAAATGCCTCATAAAGAACACCTTAGCCCGATTTATATCCATTTATAGACTAGTTAAATCTATGCGTTTCGAAACTCAACCGAAATAAGTGAAAGCAGGTTTGAATATCTAGGCCAGTTATTAACTAAACATTTTAAATAATTTTCTACTTCAATTGAGAAACTCATGTCAGTCTTTGCAATAACTAGATTCCAATTTCGAATTTAATAATTTACTGGTCGGTGGTTCGGAGGAAATATGATATTTTCCAATAATTGGAACCAGTCGACGCGAATAGTTGTGAGTGGTAATTGCAGTACCACCTGTCAGTGAACTTGATTAAAAAAAATCTAAATTAAAAAATTCCAAATAAAAAAAAAATTAAAAACATATAGTTAGTATTACGTGTTAGTCACGCATCAAAATGTTTTAGTTACGAGTCGTAATATTTTTAGTCTGTGGTACAGACCCCTTTTTTATCGAATTATTAACATTCGCCTGAAACTTCGTAAATAGTTTCATCTGATCGTAACGTACAACTATTTTATTTTCGAAAACTCTTTTAGTTGGGGCATTTTCATTCTGGAGGGGGGCAATCTTTGTCTATTCAATTAGGTACTAAACTATCACAAAATCGAAAAAAAAGGTGGCCTCCAAAAATATTGGGTCGTTTGGTGTGACCTAAACCTCCAATTTTTCTATATAACGAGGATATATGGGACAAACGGACCAATATTTTTGTAGGTCACCTTTTTTATCGATTTTGTGATCAAATTGGCTTACGATCCAACTAGAAAGCAAATGGGTATTTACGAGGTTTTAGTATCTTATTAAATAGACAAAGTCCCCCTCCCCTCCTCCAGATTGAAAACGCCACAATTTCAATAGTTTTCGTGACTAAAATAGTTACAATGAGGTGTAACTATTTACGAAGTTTCAGGCGTATGTTAATAATTCGATAAAAAGGGGTCTGTACCACGGACTATTTTGTTTGGTAAGTTTGAAGTTTTAGTAAGGGGCTCTGTTTAGCTATTCCATATATCTGTAAGGAGTATGTCCATATAGGCTTAAGTAGACCTACTTTATTTTAAAATGTTAGATCCATGTCATCCTTCTGTCAAAGATATGTCCATGATATGATGTTCGTATATGGTGTTCGTCTTAGGAATTTGATTGTTTTCGATATAAATTGAGGCAAAAAAAAAATATATATATAAATATAAATATCACAAGTAAATAAAGTATGGATAAAAGAACCATGCTAAGAATAAATGAGGTGAATTTTATAATATATCTGTTTAAATTAGAGTGAAATCATTTGTAAAGATTCCTTTTACGTGTTGTTCAACTGTAATCAGGTGGAAGGCAGTATATAGGGTTTTGTTAGTCACATACCAAGGTGCATTAATTACGAGACGTAATATATTTGTTAGGAAAATTTGAAGATTTTGTAGGCGTGTCTGTTTATCTGCAAGCGGGGTTTAGGTAATATATATGTATAGGTATATGTATTCTATTTTTTAGTTTTGAAGATTTAAAAAAAAAGTGAGTAACGTAGTTTGAGTTGTTTATTGAGTGTCTTCAGTTTTATTTTAACATGTGGGTCCCAGATAATTCTTCTGTAAAAGGCTAATCCAAGATATTTACAGTGTAAACTGAAAAATTTGGTTGTTTTCGATGTAAATTGTAGGGTAGGCATTTCTTCAAAGCATAAATATAAATAATATTCGATATATCATGGTTTAATCGATTTTTCCATAATTTGTACCAGTCTTGTAATTTATGTAATTTATCTAATTGAAATTGTAATGTTAATCAGGCTTTTGTAGGATCTTGATGTATTGTGATAATTGATATTCATTCCTTCAGTATTAGTAGCAGCCAATATCTTATTGTTAATAGGTATGTTGTAAGTGTATACAATATACATTAGAGCCATTACTGAACCTTGGGGTACTCCCGCCATGATTGAACAAATAGAGGTAAATAAGTAGTGTTAGTTATTAATTTGATATAATACCAAAAGTAAAGTATATATTAAAAAAAAAAAAAAATATTCAATGTTATAAACAAGGCCACTGGCCAAAGTGCCTTCAGCACACTCATCCTTTCCTACCTTAAAATACCCCAGAGTAAGAAAAGGTATAAACCAATCCCTATATACATAATTGTATAT